GTACGACGGCGCGGAGGCAGGGAGGGACGTGGCTTATTGCCACTAATATAGCAGTCGACCTCAATATGACCAACATGTCTGCACGCAGTACAGAAAGCGGGGATCTTCTCGTAGATCACCCGCTGAACAAAGGACTCGGAGCCCTGCTCAATCTCGATCTCATGAACGAGCTCCGTCCTGAGATCTATCTCGACACAGAATCGTGCCACACTAACCCTCGTCTGGAGGGCCGTGTGGGCGTCAATACGAATCGGCTGCCCAATACACTTAGCAAGTGTAGTGATGGCAGCCCGGTCGTAGAGGTGGGGTGGAAGACCCGGAAGACGGCACCAAACAGTGACAATCGGCGCCTCCGTCTGTGGGTTAAACCCGACATAGTATTTGAATACCCTAGCTGGGCATCCACATAGATGAATCAAGGTCTTAAGACAGACCTCATTATAATCCTCAATGAGGTGGAAGGTCACAAGAAGGTGGTTAAAGTTGAACCACTTCGATGATACACTACCCTTAAAACCCAATTTCCTAAGTCCAGCAGATATATCCCGAGGGGCGGGGATAGCATATGAGAACTTAAATACCAGGGTGTTATCTAGTTTACCTGACAGGTCGCCAGATTCAGCGTCGGAGAAGCGGGCCTTCACTTTGTTCCCCTCCGAGCGGATGATGGTGTCGCAAGCATGTTCGTAATTCCCGTCGAATGGGAAATCTTTCGGTGTTGGGCTGAGGGAGCTCGAGCCTCCATTTTTCTTTCCCGTAACGGCCTCCCGAAATGAGACCGGGCCCGTGGAGGCGCCCGGTTGAGGCCCGGGTGCAAGAGGGTTGACCGTGGAGGTGGGCATTGTGGATGTTTCGTTCGGAGACGGTCCATTCGAGCCGCCGGCATGTTGGGATCCTGTTGTTTTGCCGGCGCCGCTGCCGGAGCTTGGCAGTTGGTCAGCGCTATCCAGTGGACTCTCGGTTTCAGCTGGAATTATAGTGAGGGATTTTGTTGTTTGCAGTCCCGTGAGGTTAGGATAATTTTTATTCTGAAGGATATTTTGGGTGCTGGGCTGAGAGCAAAGGTTGGGAGTTGGTTTGGCTGGGTTGGAGGTGGGCTGATTAAAACTGGGGAGGCCCAAATATTGAGGGTTGCAATTCGGTGAATTGGGCCCAGAATTAATGTTGGTCTCGGGTCCACGCAGTTCTTCAACCATTATTATAGGCTCATTTAATAGTTGGGTTGAGTGAGCATCTTTGTGGCCGACAACTATTCCAAATCCAGCTGTATGCCCATCATCACTTTGAATTTCGGACCCACGCACGTGGCCAGGGAGCTGAGGGTTTTCACTTTTGAGCTGGAGGTTAGATGACTGATTTCCACCGACTAAACACGAGTTGGACAGCAGCGAATTGAGGTCTTTGACCTGCGAGAGGATTTTTTCCGATCGGATATCCACCGGAATAGAGCCAAAGCGAACCAAAGCCCCGCTTGAGTTGTTGAGAGCTGCCGTCGGACAGGGATTAGGATCTGACATTCCAATGATGGAATCATAAGGAATCTCGGAAATGGGAGGCGAGGATAATTTTGCAGATGGTGTCTTAATACAACCCGACTCCTCAGCTATAATTTCTCCTTCTTCGATGATGCTAAAATCTCCTTTTACTTTGCTTTGATTTATATTATTATCAAAGACGGCTGAAAGAGCTGTTTGAACTGCTGGATTTGACAGAAACGCAGCTATTTTTGAAACTGAAATGGCGGGTGGGGGAGATGCGGAGGGTTGATTGGAAATCAGGTGACCCATAACAGCTAGGGAAAAGGAACTATTGAACGTGATAGACCCGGCGGCCAGGGGCCGCCGGTGGTGGTGAACGGAAAAGCTAGCCGGAGGAGGAGGTGGATGAAGGGTTAAGCAGAGGAAACAGAAATGGGTTAGGGTATAGAGAGAGAAAGTTAGAGAGAAGGGAGAGCATTTGCTTTTTCTAGTTGCTATCTAATTGTGTATCTTGCTGCTAAGTTAGTTATATAATGCTGCTAGGTTAGTTGTACCTTATTGTTAGGATAGTTCTCTGATGGTGCTAGGTTACTAGTTGCTAGGTTAGTTGTATCTTGCTGCTAAGTTAGTTATATAATGCTGCTAGGTTAGCTGTATCTTACTGCTAGGTTAGTTGTCTTAAGCTGCTAGGTTAGTTTTCTGATGGTTCTAGGTTACTAGTTGCTAGGTTAGTTGTATCTTGCTGCTAAGTTAG